CACAGGGCTGAAAGATATCTTCGAACGCTGGCAATTCCCAGGGCAGCTTCATGTCACCTACTTCTTTGTCCGCACAAGCACCGGTGTTCAAAGCAGATGACAAAAGGGCATCCCAATCAGGCTTACTCCCGATTCCTGACCCCGCGGCACTAGAGGAAGCCATGGTTCAATCCAAGGAACGCAAGTCGAAACTGTCGGCACTGAAGGAAGATGGAGGCTCAGGGCTGGGTCCGTCTGGCGTCACGAAATCCCACAAGCTCTGAAGTGAACGCAACAAAGCAGCAAGGTCGGCTTCTAATGCAGTTAGACGGTTACGGCAAGCCCACACAGAAAGCTGGAGCCCGGCAAGGTTATCCGACAGTAAGTCAGGCGCAAGCTCCCCTGACTGGAAAAGCTCAACTTGCTCCTCGAGACCCTCAACACGGTCCTGAAGGTCTTGCACCTGAGAACGCAAGGCTGCCAAGACGCGCCTGCTTACCATCCGGGAGCCCACGTGGCTCCCTTGCACGGGGCCTATCGCCAACGTCGGAGGGGGGGCCTGGTTCAAGTAGGTTGGAACCCCCAGGGACTCAGCAGGCCCGACAAAAATTTGTTGATCAGCTCAAAGCTTGAGATTCGATAGCCACAAATCAAGCTTGCATGAATCAACAATCGAACATGGACGTGTAAAACATGAGCATGAAACCACACTGCGTTTTTGTTGTTTCATCACATAAAACAACAAAATTTTTAGTTTAGGAATAAAGTGAAAATACTTTAGAATCAGATCACTTCTTCAGGAGGCATCCTCTTTTGTCGGTGATGACATGGAACCCACTCTAAGTCAACAAACTCCTGGCCGCGGAGACAGAATGTTACATAAGTTGTTCAGGGCAAGGTGCCTGTTTGAAGAACTCTTTCTCCATTTCGAAGCTCTTGTAGACAAGTTGCACCACCAACTTGTCACGCTCTTCAGAACCCATGTTGGAGGCAAGACGCGTAGCGCCACGCGCTGACAGCATATCTTACAAATGGACCAGCAAAAACGCAAAGACCTCCAGGTGTATGCGCGATATAAGTAGATTGCAAGAAAACATCCAGCCTACAATTCAAGTCATGGAACACGCATGCATAAATAGCCATAGCTGCGCAGCAAGTTAAATATGTAGAGATTCCAATCATGCACCCAAGCGCACATATGTTGGCACAGCAAGTAGCAAGGGGGAATGCGCTGCAGATTACATCTTTGACGCGGAGCTTGCGCTTTCCCATTCCATCCTGAGCAAGAGACATGAACCCAATTCTGCACTCAATCTTCAGAGCAACTGCACCGCCCAGCCTGGCGGCGGCAACATTGCCCGATCGATCTAGAATTTTTACAACCCTTGAATGCAAAACGGCAGTATCAATATGCTGCTATAAGATCAAGCAAAACAAATGTTTAGGCAGGATGACCAGGTAAACCATGCCACGGATCACGGGCACTCAACAAGCATTCGTGAGCCAAGACATGTCAAGCAAGATATACGCCAAGCAAGTTCTGCTCTGTCATGTCCACCATGTACATGTCATGTCATGCAAAGCATGTACGCAAAATTGCCACACACACACACACACACAATTTCTAGCAAAGAACATAACCATCCCTAATACAAAGCAAGCAATGCGTTGGACTGTGACTATAAAGAAAAAAATTGATCATGAGTGAACACTATATATATGTACATTTCCACAGGACCCACGAGAAGCTAAGGTACATTTCCTCCTTCGCGGGAATTTAAGGCACATTTCTCGGGGCGCGAGAATTTATGGTACATTTCCTTGGGGAATATAAGGTACATGAAACGACCCGCAAATTCCAAACGCACATTAAAGTTTTAAGTAAAGTCATTTGGTCCTCCAGGTGAAAACAGCGGTGGACACGGACCATCAACAACGCTGAAACCAAACACCACCGCCTTGCCCGCAAAGCTTCCCAAAAATTAAATCGGCACTTACTCTTGAGCGCCTCACCGTCCCCAAACTTGAACGCTTCCTCCTCCCAATGCCCTTCCTGACGCCACCTCCTCAACAGCGCTGCTCCCCAACGAACCCCTGCAACAGTCCTCACGCAGCCGATATCAAGAATGACCTTGAGGACCAAATCTTTGGGGACCAACACACTTCATGAAGCTCAACTGGCACAGTGATAGTCCCCAATGCAACACGCTCCTTGTACGCCGCCTCGCTCTTTGAAAGACCTCAGCTGCGGCCGACGTGCTGCACATGGAACCTAACAAGGCCCACTCAGCGGCTGCATCGTCCACCACGTTGGCGGACTTGGCGGCGGGAATTCCCTGGACCAATGTCCAGGTTGGCCACAGGCGCGGCGGCTGCGTCTTCATCTTCAAGATCTTCCTTCGCTCCTCATTGTCGGGTTTGCGGTAGTACTGCCGCAACTTCTTGGCTTCCGCAATGCGCTGCTTAGCCTTGTACTGAATGCTCCGGCACCGTCTTGGCCTCGTCCGATGAGTAGTCGACGGCGACCTCGTCCTGGCCCTCGTCATTCTCGGCGACCAAGGCGCTGCGAGGTCTGCAGCCGGTCTTCCAGCTGCATGTTGAAGCAACCATTCTTCGCCTTTGCGTGTCATGTTCGGCTCACTCATGCCGACTGGGTAGCCATGCTCACCGTCCAGCTCGGTGGCCAGCTCGATCGTCGCGTCCGTCACAAGTCCTCTCTGTCAGGCACGCGTGGTCAAGCCGGTGGCCCACATAGAAGGCTTCTCCCATGGCCAAGGCGGCGCCCATCCCCAACAGGTGGCTTCGGTAGACCCCTGCTCGAGCACTTTACATGGATTTGCCCAGAGCATCTGCAGCGCTCGTCCACACTGTGCTGCTTGATGATCGGGGACTTCTCCAAAGCCCTGAAGATCACGTCCTTGCCGTCCGGCCCATTAACATGGCGCAGCTCGAGGTGCTTCACAAGCTGCACTGCTCTGTACTGTAGCTGGACCATGATTCTCGGGCCGATGAGCTCGACAGGAAGTCGATGACCCTCACCTCCGACCCAAAACGCTACGCCTCGTTTCTATTCCAGGTAAGACTCCTGAGGCTTGGCCTGGAACTGGAGGATACTTGTTGCTAATCTTGCCCGCCTTCTTCTCCGCGTCTTCGCCAGCAATCTTTGGCTTCCCCTTGTCCGGGATCATCACGTCATCAAGGCTGATGTTCTTGCGGCCAATGTCGTCATCGAGGACGCTGGCATACTGGTAGTAGGTCTCGTTCTCGTCCGCCCAGGAGCTTGTCCACGATATCTGGGGCCACTGCGCCAGCTCCAGTTCTCATCGCCATGCTCTTCTTGACGCGGTGCTTGCCAGTCCTGTCGACCGCCCCATTCAGACGATGACTGCCAACTCCAATCTTCATCGCCAGCAAAGGCCTCACGCGTGACACTGCTGTCGGCCTGCTGGCTGCCATTGTTCCAGTGCAGTCTTCGTCTTTGCCTGCGTTCGCCACGGCGGCCATCAGCCTTATCCTCTGCTCGAAATGTCCGCACAGACACTTTCATCATAGCCTTCCCGGCCGCGACGTCCCAACGTCGACTGCTCCCACAAAGAGTCTGTCCCATCCTTGCCCCATAGTAGGATCGCGCCATTGGCGCGCAGGGTTGATGCAGTGGCTCAAGCCGCTGCTCCACACAGACACTTCGGGTTGTGTCCGGCCCACACTTCTCCCGCGCACGGAGACCAAGTCAATCAACGACACAACCCTGCATCTCCCCCTGCTCTGCTGCCAGAAGAATATGGCAGCACACGCAACTACACACAACCCTGGGCCCGGCCCTTTTCCAGCACCAACTTGCGAGCCAAAACGGCTCCCGAATCTGCGATCCTGAGCGGGCAGATTTGCGTGCTGTCACAATAATGGGCGGTGCTCTAACGGCATTGGTAAGTCCAGGAGGGAGCATCACGAAACCTGTAAGCAAAGCCAAATCACCCCTACCATCAATAGCGCGGCTTCTGCGAGGTGCAGATGACAATGGGTGTGGTGTAATAATGTAAACCACACTCAGATGAAAACACACTCAAGCCGTGGCGAACGGCGAACAACCTGTTGTCGTTCGGCACTCTGGTAGCTACGCGTTTCGCCCACTAAGGGCTCTTCGGGCTAGTGCCTCGAGAGACTCAAAGACTTCAAAGCACTTCCCGCCCTTCCGCCCTAGCTCATTTACTGACCAGCACAAGCCTGTCTGTTTCCGTACAATTTCGCCGAGGTGGACCCGTAACCTGACTGGTAAAGCCTGGGGAGTGCGCGCTGATATGATATCGACCCAAAACAGAAAAATCGCAGAGAGAAGGATTTGGAAATGTTTGGCATATCTCCGTGAGTTCCTGAAAGGGAGGCGTGGCGAGCAACAGATTCTTGGTGAAGTCTTCGAGTCAGGTGAAGTCGTAGGAACAGATTTTGACAACCGCATGAGAATTCTGGGATGCTGAGCAAAGAGGAAGGACGCTGAGTGAAGCACACGAAAAGAAAAAGTGAAGCAAGCGAAGCGAAAAGCATTTGGCCTCCGACTTCCCTGACGTCTCCTCATCCGGCCTCCAAAGGAGAAGCCAAGGCAAAAAGCTGTGAACCCAGACGTTTACACCAGACGTGTAACACCGTAACACCACACACGCACACAAAAGAAGGGCTTTGAACAGCCCTCCACACGCCCAGGGCCTGGGAACCTTGGCACCGGAGGAGCTTCCAACAGACACCTCATGCAATCTGTCAGAGAGGTGTCAGAGACTTTCTTGAAGTTACGGCTCGGGCCCGAACCGTACGTGAACCGAGCCGCACCATCTTCCAACAGAAGACACGCTCAATGCGTTATCATAAAGATTGGCTCAGGCTAAATGTCTCCGCGTCACGTTTAAGGGTTTAATGGGTGCTTGAGCATCTGAGAGCCTCTGATGCCGCTGTGTCTCTGCTAAGATCCAAAGAGCAAGAAGCGCAACAGCTGTCAAAGCCCACAGCATCATGCACTGCACACATACACTGCACACGTCTGCACACATCTGCACACATCTGCACACTTTGCTGAGCAGCCTTTCTTGAGCATTGAGCACCCATGTCACAGAAGTTGATGCACTCCTGGAGTGAAACTATGGGGAGCCGTCGCATCCCTTGTCGAAGGTGGGGAAGCGCACAACAGAACGCGATGCATCGCGATGCAACGCGTAGTATGCAGAGCTCAACAGGTCTTTGGACAGGATGCGTCGATGCTCCAAACATGCTCGGCCTGTGCTCCACCAACCGTGCTCCGGCTTTGATTGGAATTTTACATCTTCAGTCCCAGAGTTCCAGTGGCTTTGCCTTTGCACTGTGAAGGTCACATGAACACTGAACCCACATTAGCCCACCCTCGTTCAACATTTGCTGGCCTTTCTCTACTCTCCTTTGGAGAGGCTTGGAAAGTCATAGCCTAGAGTGAAACAAATGTGCCAACATGCCAACACACCATTCTAAGCGTCGTGAATGCCGGTGGTGCCCAAAATCCAATTAGACTTCAGGCGCCCCAGGCAAGCTTGCCAGAAAGAACAGCCTCTCACTTCACCTGGCATCGACTTCTCCAAAAATGGGGTTTTGGGGGGGTGGTGTGAACGTATGTCATGTGACTTTGCACATGTTGCACCTTGCCCTGGTTGGCCACGCCATCGATCTTGGCCTTGACTTCCGCATCATCCAGGAGATAATACCTCGCCCAAGCTCCAAGCTCCAAGCTGCCTCTAGGATTCTCCGAAGTTCGAAGTTCTCCGAAGGGGGCACTTCTGCACCACACGCAAGCTCGTATCTAGCTCGTACACCAGCGGAACCCCCGTCGGAATGTTGAATTCCATGACCTGAGCCGAGAAACATTCCTCCAAGAGTCCAGTGCTGATTTCCTGCTTTTTTGTCTCTGGGGACTCGGCATCGCTCTCGGTCATCCCCTGAGCAAAGGCAACGCATTCTGTTGGACCCTGAAGGTCCAAGCCCGTGTTGGTCGCCTCCAGGTACTTGGCGATCGCCCGCAAGGAGTTGCCGTGTGCGGCCACTAGCACACTCTTACCAGCCATCACCTAGAAAGGGATGAGAAGTTTTCCCCATAGGTGCAGCTGTTGGCAATATCTAGTGACTTAAGCAGTCTAGGGCTTGGGGAGGCACGCAGGGTGCGATGGTGTCGTTCCAAAAGGGCAGGACCTCAGATGCGTCTGACTGCCTTTTGGGGAAGCTTGAAGCTTGAAAGGCTCCCTCGCTTTGCCCTGAGAGCTCCAGGCGCGGTCCACGGTCATGGACAAGCTCTCGGCACCCGGCAAGGCCGACCTCGGAACCTCAGAAGCTGAGAGCTCTCAACCAAGCACAAGTCGCAAAAGAATTCGCGCACATTTTCTTTTGAAGTGAGTCACAGTGAGAAGTGAAAGGTGGCCCGGGCTCCGGGCGTGGCGGTACATGGGGTCGTTGCTGGGATGCCGCGGGTCCGCTGGACTGATCGCAGGGGGAGGTACCGAGTAGCTCCGCCTCCAGATCTTCACCTCCAGAAAGGAAGAGAATTCAGTTGAGAAGTTGTGAAGTTGTGGAAGTTGTGTGAAGCCGTGAAGAGAGAGTTGTGAAGAAAGACGAAAAGACAGCACGATTCTCTACTTCTCGAGCAGCTCTGTCAGCTGCTAGCTCCCTGCTGCTAGCTCTCAGCTGACACCTCTTTTGCTTTTGCGCCTGCTTCTCCCCGTGTTTGGCAGCCGTCTCAGCCTTGTTCAGGCCCTGCAATCCCCCGTAGTGGCGCTCGTTGAGCCTCGAGACATCTCAAGCTAACCTTCACAGAACCTTTATGTCAGATCCATACCTCCAACTGTTGATGACTGGCATGGAGAAGTTCCCAGACTCCGCCAAGGCTGTCCAGGCTGTTCGGATGGCTCGGCCTCAGGTCGTCAAAGGAAAAGTGACAAAGAGGCACCCTCTACACACCAAGGCTCCAGCGCAGGACGGACCTCAAATTCCACTCATTCCGGAAAGAGCAGAGCTTGGAAGCTCAACTTAAAACAGAGCCATCCCAGCCGAGCCATCTCAGCCGAGCCATTTCCAGACAAGGAGCGTGAAGACGATGTCGAAGCGGAAGCCCTCCTCCCACAGCATCTTGCCGGCGTCAACAGCCTGGAGATCGGGACAGCATGTCATCGCAATCGCACATGAAGACGTTCGCATTGGTGTCCAGAAAATCACCAACACCAGCTCAAACGAAAACGGCCGCGCGCAAAACATCAGTCGAGGTACACTCGTAACTGTCGTAACTTGTAACCCACCTCACACCCCGACATCCTCGCATCCTCGCATCACCTCACCCCTTGCAACTTGCTAACTTGTCAGATCTTCTCCGCCCGAGGCACGAAACGATACGAAATGCAGTGCTTCAGCGATTCAAACAACCAGTACTGTGCCACACCGCAGTGCCTCCGTCTTGCCCGTCTCGCTAAGATCCACGTCGGCCCAGCCGGTAAAGATGTTCTTCACCTCAAAGAAACCAGGTACGCTAAGTTTCTTAAAGATTACCTGTCGCTGTTCAAAACAAGCGGCGTTCCACTCGCTCTCACCATGCCGCAAGAAGACCTCTGAGAAGAGAGATGCGAACTGTGAACGTGGTCATTGACATTGACATGTGCTAAGGCTCAGGCGATCTTGAAAATCCCCGGCGTGCGCTGACCCAAACCGCCCCGGACTCGGCTTAGAATTCCTCGCGCTTTTTTCCCCATCAAATCCCCGTAGCGCTTAGCTTCTCGGGCATCTTCAGGTGAGATGTCGTTGTAGC